CTCCCGTTTTAATGGGCTAAGTGACGAAATTCAAATTGCATTTTTTATGTCTTTAAAGCGCGACTTAGAATATATATTAGATTTATGTATAGCTTTGTTCTAATATAGGTATTTTGGCATAAAATCGGACTTTTTCTAAAATGCCATGCCAATGTTTTTCCATATTTCTATTCTACGACTCAAATTATGCCTAAATTTTAAATTTTGTAAAATTTAGTTCGAAATTTACGGAGAAATTCAAAAATTTATCTTGGCGCATTTTTTCCAGTTTGCAGCAAGAATAATTCACTTGGCAAACTTCTTAATTAATAGCAACCTATTTTTCTTTCCTTTTTCCATTGTAAAAGAGCGGGAAAATGGTCATCGTTCATACTTTCAAATAATTTTAACAAAGTGCGTAAGTCACATTTAGTGTTATTATCGTTTATGACGAATATGCAAAATTTAAAAACGCGTCAATACGTAAATTCACGTATATCTTAAGAAATTTTGAATTAAAATCTCTAATGTTTACAAGTATGCTTAGAAATACCACTACTTTAAGATGATAGTAAAAATTTTATACGTTATAATTCAAAATTTTTTCGAAAAATTTTTAAAAATTATTTTAAAATACAAATTTGAAAAATAAATCATAAAAATGGGCTAATTTTATTTGGAATGAACCTAAATTTCGAAATGTAAAAGGAAGAATCAAATAAATCTAATAAAAAAGAGATATTGATAAATATATACCAAATTCAATTAACATAGAAGAGCTAAAATTTTGAGAGCTAATTTTTTAAAACGTGCTCGTGCGATATTTACATAACTTGGCGGTTTGGCATAACTTGAGAAGAATCGAAATATGGAAAAAAATTGACATGTTAATTTAGAAAAAGTCCGATTTTATGTCAGAATACCTATATTAGAACAATGCTGTATATAAATCTAATATATATCGTAAGTAAAGCTTTCGAGACATAAAAAAAGCACGTTAAATTTCGTCAACGGGCCCAGTAGAGCGGGAAATATAGAACTGTCCTGCCCCCCCCCGCGCAGTGTACCTACGAAAGGGTTCTGCGCACTTTTTCAAAAAGTTCCCGAACACCTTTCAAACATAAATCAGTTGTATTTTCATTTCGTCCAAACATCTGTTTTCTAGATTAACCATTTTAACCAGTTTCAAGATAAGCTATAAAAACTCTTGCGGAGTAACATATGGGCATGCAAAATATGCGTGTTTATTATTGCATTTTGATGCCTTAAAGCAAACGTACTGTAATTAAGTTTAATTACTTTATAAAAATAGTAAAAACTACATACATGAAGAAAGGAAATTGTGATGCTATTTACATTATTTGTAATTTTAATTTTCATTTCAATGAAAACAGTTTCCTCCATTTTATTTAACAAAATAAATACACTTATTCAGAAGCTGGAAATGTGCATATTTATTAAATCATATATGACGGTAGATAGGAATTAAATAAAATACCCCAATTGAATGAATCAGCTAGTGTTACACACTTTTTTAAACTATTTTTACCTTCTTGCACATTTAAGAATTTCACAGGTTTTCTCTTTGTTGTTGTCAATGGAGAAAACATTTTTTTTTTCCACTGAAGTGTTTCTTTCAATTGAAACTTGAAAAGAATAAACTCTTCATGCTCTGTTAAGTAATTGGTATTGCGCAAGACGAATAAAAAATTACACAAAACCTGATAATGGATTTTTAAACTCTTTTATAAGACTTGAAGAAAATGCGTTGAAATTCTTTTCTAAGTTTCCTGGATATTTAATGAAAGTTTAAGCACACATACAGCAGAAATCTCGTAATTTATATTTTGCAGTAAAAGTATAAATATAGCGATGCTACAAATTAAGACTGGCATCAACCATGTTTTTTAGCTTCAGTAATTTCAAAATTTAGTAGCCCCACCAGCGGCCGAGCGGTAACGTCTCTGAACACTGGTAGTTCGGACCGAGGTTCGAATTCCGCGAACGGGCTGGCTGCATGGGTGGTTTCGTTGTTTTTCCCAAGTATAACGTGTATACGAGCCAGTTTTCCTTAAAAAGTCCTCCACGAAAGCATTCCTCCCTTAAGGCAGATAGCCCTCGAATGCTTTGCCGTAATCTAATAAACTACTCAAAATTCAGTAAAAACTGTATGTATGTTTATAATTCAGTTTTAAATGTTCTATCAACAATTTAGATGCAATTTCCAATCAATTCACCATCGGGAAAAATAGAAAAGTTTTTTTTTTTATGTTTTTATGAATAAGAATAATTATGAATAATTTCTTTTCTTGCTTGTATTACATTATAAAAAGTATTTCGATGCAACAAAATATTACAAAACAATTAGCTTTGTTTCTTTTTATATATTATTTGATAGTTTATATTTGATTTCATCTTGAACTGAAATGAAAAATTATTAAAAAGAATTAATTGCTTTTCATTTTAATACTTAATTAAAAATTTAATTACTTTCTTTAGTAATTAAAAAAATTAACTAGTTTTCATTGCATCGTACAAGCCTAATGAGAAACTACACAAAAACTTGTCGATAAAATAAACCTGTAAACATAAAATCTTGAATTTTTTTTTTTTTTTTTTTTTTTTTTTTTTTTTGTCTTGTCATTGTGTGAGAGAGTATTTTGGTGATTTACTTGATTGAAAAATCTAGACAGGGTGCAAACGGCACAAAGGAAAATGTAAGAACAAGAATTGCGTGCAAACGTTTTACAAATTTTGCAATTATTATACTATATTACTATCTTAATAAGCGTAATCCAAATTCTTATAATCAATGCCCGATATGCTAACTGGAGAAGGAACATAATTCGCAAATAAAAACTTTTGAAATTTCAGCAAAATAGTTTTCTTTTAGTTGCTAGACTATATTTCACCAACCGGTAATCAAAACGAACAAAGATCATTGAGTTTTTAATTTTCTCGTTAGAGAAGTCTATAGTTGTCTTGTAACCTACTGTTAAGAAGTTAAAAAAAAGGGGGTGGGACTTTTCTGATATTTATTCAGTGATAAGGAATGATTTATGCAAGAAGTTATAACCTTAAATCTTACAATTAGTATAAATTTCTCATGTTGACATAAATTTACTTCGTTCAAGACTTGTTACATATTTAAGAATTCCGTACGTTCATGACACGACATGTCAACACGGGTGCTCACTTTCAAATAACGTCAGAGGTACGATGACGGTAGATAGGAACTGTACGCAGAAAGAATGAAAAGAAACATTGATTATCCTAATTCTTACACTACACAGAAGAGAAAGAGAACTGAGAACAGTTTGAAGCATAAATAAGAGAATAAACAAAGAAAACGAAAAAAAAAAAAAGAGCGGTTGGAAAAAAAATTTTTTTTTCTTCTTGAAACACCATTGAAGATGTTGAAACCATGTGGCGTATGCTCAAGAAACACAATTTTATATAAAAATCTACAATTAACATCCGCGGGATTTCATATTCTAAACTGCCACATTAGCAAATGTATTTTTATTTATTTATTTATTTATTTATTCTTTTTTTGCTTACATTTCCAAAATAATTGATATAGATTATATTCCGCGTATAACGCGCCCTGTTGTATAACGCGCACCTTTAATTCCAAGCTATATTTAGTAATTTTTAGGTATATTCGCAGTATAATGCACAACCAAGAAACCTGAAAGTTATATGTGCCAGGCTCTTAATTTTTGAAGTCATTCATTCGAAGATTTTTCCCAAGCGCTTGAACAATGGTATACTGAATTCGCAAGCCATATGGGGAAAAACGTGTGTAGGGAGAAATGCTTGAGGTAGTAAATAATTCTGCAAAGAGGATGGATTGTATTCAATGCAGCTCTGCATAAAAATGTTATTCTAGGGTTTCGAGAAAAGGGGAACAAAATGTTAGGTAAATATGCCCTTCCGATACAAATGTGTTTGCGGAATTAGGAGTCAGACGTTTTTCACTTTCTCTAACCGTTTGAATCAGCGACTTTGAAGTGAACTTCGAAGGTTTTTAGTAAATCGTGTTTGCTTTAGTTGACACAGTTGATCAAGTGTTCCTTTAAGTAGTAAATAGGACTTCTTCCAAACGAAACAAACATAGTACTGGTTTCAAATGCAAAGTCATTCAATTTGGGAAAGAAAATGATAATCATGCTCCAGCAAGGAAATTTAATGCTGGTGAAAGACGGAACGGATGGTGATTATTTATTAATGGATCAGGGTAATAATGACGATTTTTACGAAACAGAATTCGATGATGTAATACGTGAAGATATAACCAAAGATAAACATGACGAACTTTTCATTTTATCCGAAATTGAATAATTTTAGGTACATAAGGTATGTCATTTCTTTTAAATAAACAGCATTTAGGTACATGTAAAAATCTAATTTTTGTATTCCAGTGTTAAAACAATAATTCCAGTTTCTGAAGGATCTAACATTCTGTCGATTATTCGAATAACGTAATTCCTATTTCTGTTATTGTGCAATGTTACATGTTACTTTTAAGAGCAATAATCCCTAAAATAGCTCCATTATGTTTTATTAAAGATAACACTAGACGATGAGCAGCAACAATCGAAGCGATTACGAAATTATACTAGTTGATGTATCTATCCATTGAAGGAGCCTCAAAACTTTGTATAATAAATACCCTTGATGGGCAAAACGTTATCTTCCATTTAAATGTTAACTAGAAATAGAATACCCATTATTTAAAAATACATACATACCATTGCATAGTGACTTTCAAATTAAATTAATTTGGACTCGCATATCTATGCAGTGGAAAACTGTATACGCAGCATTAGATATGAAGGTTTTCGAGTTGTATTTTGAATGGCTTCAGTTGTTTCGTAATCAATCAACACGTCTTTAAAATACGTAGTTTTTTTATGTCTCGTAATAAATTAGGGCAACCGAAAGAAAGCATGTTCTAATTTTCTTTATCTTCCTGTTTCTCTCTTTCAGAATTCTAATTTCTGTTTACTTACTTACAGAATGCCCAGGAGGCATGCACAGATGTATCTGTGGCCTTCCCAGGTGTATAGAAAGAAATAAAGTTGGAGATGGTATAAAGCATTGTCAGGATGGTTCCGATGAAGGTAAGTTTTATATCAACTTAATAAAGAAAAGAATAGCAATATAATGCTTTCGGTTATCAGTTGGGGAAAGCAAAATTTTCAAAGAGATATCTTAAAACATCTTCTCTGTATTTGTGTATTGGGAAGAAATTATGATATTTACGAACCTTTACTTTATTCAATAAAATGTTTTGTCAGGGTAAAATAATAGCAAGAAAATTTACCGCAAACGTAGTTACACAGATTGGTGCACAAATGTATAAAATAACACTGATAGACTTCCGAAGATTGAAGTCTTGGTAAATAATATCCCGGCCACCGCACTCCTGGATACCGGCGCGCAGTGTTCCTGTGTGGCAGAAGTCTTTTTTTAGAAAGTATTTTCGCAAATACCGCATATATAATGCGGATAATACAACAGTATTAGCGGCGCAAGGAGAACAATGTAAGTGCGTAGGTAAAGTACCTTTGTACATCCGTATCAAGGACGAACAAGTAAAGGTGATGTTTTTTATAGTAAAGAATTTGCAAGCACACTTAATACTAGGAATAGACTTTCTTTCAGACGCACAAGCTACACTGGATTTTAATGAAGCGTCTCTTAAGCTGACGATGAAACCAGTGCGTGTAGAAAAGGTTGAACCGCCAAGGTTAAATCTTGACCACCTGCCTAATGACGAGCAAGATAGAATCCGACAAGTGGTAAGTGAATTTGCTTCCTTATTTTAGTGATATTCCAGGATTTACCCAGGTTACTAACCATAGTATTGACACCGGAGATGCATTGCCGGTTCGTCAAAAACCATACCGGTATGATAAGAATAAGGAAAAAATTATAGAATGGCATATTACCGATATGCTACGTAAAAAGATCGTAACGCCTATCTCAAGTAGTTATGCTAGTCCGGTGGTTTTTGGTTTTATGTAAGAAAAATAATGATTATCCTTTGGAGCATCCAAAAAGGTGGAGATTCGCTATTGATTACCGTAAATTAAATTCCATAACGAAATATCCGGTATATCCGTTACCGATTATAGAAGAAAGAAATTTTAAGGAACATAAAATCAACCAAATTTATGACGACTTTAGACTTAACGAATGGTTATTTTCAAATAGGGATCAGGCCTGAGGACGTGCCTAAGACTGCTTTATAACCAAGTCTGGCACTTATGCATTTTTGCGAATGCCGTTTGGCCTTTCAGGCGCCCCAGCAACATTTCAGCGATGCATGGACATTGTGTTAAGACCTGTTCTCGGAAAAGTCCACATTTATCTATTTAGACGATATCATTATTACTAGTGATAATCTAGACCAACATGTACAGGATTTAAGACAGGTGTTTTCTTTATTAAATGAGGCCGGTCTAAAAGTTAATGTCGAAAAATGCAAATTTGCAGCCCCTGAATTAAAATATTTAGGTTACAAAATATCGCAAAAAGGGAGGATCGAGACAGATGAATCAAAAATAATCGCTGTACAAAAGTATCCGACTCCAAACACGGCAAAGAAGCTCTCTTCTTTTCTAGGACTTTGTTCATATTATAGGTCCTTTATAAAAGATTTTGCGGCTATCGCTGAGCCATTGTTAAAATTAAAAAGGAAAAAAAGGCAAGATTCTCGTGGACGGCCGAAGCCAATAGTGCTTTCGAAAAATTAAAAACAAGCATTAACGCAAGCCCCTGTGTTGAAATTTCCTGAAAAGGATGAAAATTTAGAAATTTCAGCGGATGCTTCGGATTATGCGGTAGGAGCGGTACTTTCGCAAAATCAGCAGCCAGTGGCATTTTTTAGCCGAACTTTAAATCAAACACAAAGAAACTATTCCGCGACCGAGAGAGAGGCAGAGAGGCACTTGCAGTTCTGTTAGCAGTGCAAAAGTTCCGAGTCTATTTTGGAAAGGCGCCGATAACAGTATATTCTGATCATGCGGCGGTAACTAGATTGTACTCTGGGAAAAAAATTTATCCCCAAGGTTAATAAGATGGGCACTCAAGCTGCAAGAATATAAATCTGGTAATCAAGCATACCCCCGGAAAGGAAAATATCGTAGCAGATGCCCTGTCACGAATTAAATTAGACGAACAGGGTAATACCGTAAAAGTTGCAATGCTGACAGCGTGTACAATAAATTCCCGAGAAACTGTAATAACCGAACTGGGTAAGGATCCTGAGTTTGGAAGTATTTATGAGTATTTGAAGGATCCTGAAAATTTTAGCCACCAAGATATTGTGGCGATAAGAAATAGGGCGGCCCATTACGAACTAATAGATGGTCTATTATTTTATACAAAAAAACTACGAATTCCAACAACGAATTTCGACCTGTTATCCCAGCTAGTCTTAGATTAAATATCCTGCAAGAGCTCCATGACAGCCCTTTAGCTTCTCATGCTGGTATTCGAAAAACTACTCAACGCGTACGCGAGGCAGTCTACTTTCCTGAACTGCAAAAGTTAACAAGGGCGTATGTCCAGTCCTGCCCAACATGTCAAGCCGTTAATTATATTAATTTCCGCCCGGCCGGGTTTCTAAATAGTATTAAATCCGAATTTCCAAATGAAATAATCGGCATCGATTTATTGGGCCCTTTCCCAAAAAGTCAGTTAAACAAAAGTCGCTATCTCCTTGTTATAGGTTGATCATTTTAGTAAATGGACCGAAATTGTTCCCTTAAAACGAGCCTCCGCGAAATTAGTTACCGATTCTATTTTAAATAAATATATTTTAAAATACGGGGCGCCCCTAAAAGTTATATCGGATAATGGTCCTCAATTTGTAAGTAATATATTTGAAGACATGTGCCAAAAACTGGGCATACGTCATTTAAAAATGGTCCCGTATCGGCCGCAATCAAATATAGCGGAACGGGTCAACAGAAATATAGTGAAAATTATCCGTAGTTATGTTAAAAATTTTCATAAAAGCTGGGATAACTATGTCAATGAATTTGCTTTCGCCCTTAGGACCGCAAAACATGATACAACGGGCAAAACTCCTGCTGAGTTATTTCTAGGCAGAAAGGTTATAAACACCGTTAGATAAACTATTTTATGTGCAACAAAGAGCCCCAGAATTTAAAATGGGTGATATATATAGAAAAACTAATAAAAGAAGCAAAAAAGAATACGGAAGTAGCACAAAGAAAAAAACAAAAATTGTATTATGACTTGAAACGACGGGGAGTAACTTATAAAGTAGGGGATGAAGTACTAAAAATTAAGCATTCACTTTCTTCAGCACCAGAAGATAAAACTGCCAAATTTTTTCCACGCTTTGAAGGACCATATGTTATAGAAAAAATAACTCACGCTGTTGTAGTGTTAAAGGCAAGAAATGGTGAAACCTGTTCCGCAAACATTGATCAAATCAAAACCCTACTTCGATCGTAATAAAATGCAAATCTTTTCAGATCTTTTGCAGGATCCGGTACGGCAGACACCGCAGGTACAAGTTCCAGAGGTGGGAAAACGACAAGTACAAGGGCAAGCCAATGAGAGACAGAAGCAAGTGAAAAGAAAATTGCCCCGCGGAAAAAATGAAGGTAAAAAGAAAAAGAAGCCGTTCCACCGTCCAAAAAACAGAGTTCACGAACACCCCCCAGAATGAAGAAGGGAGAAGGACGACGTATGTGGAAAAGACCGGGAGAAAGAAAGGCGGCGGCAACTATAACCCGGCTGTGAAACGGAAGATTGACTCATCCGACAGAACTCTCCGCAGCAAAAGTCGCCGAACTGCGGAAGGGCCATCAGCGGCGGAGGAAAAAGTACAAGAAAAATTTGAACGGCCAACAACGAGGTCCAAGCAGGATCACGACAGAAGTTTCCCGGTTCCACCAAGACCAGCTGCCTTCAAACGGCCAAGACCACAAGCAGAGGACAAAGGAAGATGTTCAAGGGTGGCCGTAGTGGTGAAAAAAACGGAAGCTTCCAGAGGAAAGCACTGAAGGGCGAGCCCGTACAAGAAGGAGGATCAACCAAGCTACGGTCTGCAGCACCTTTAAAGACTGGGCCCAGAAAAGGATGTCTGAATATTACAAAGATAAGTAAAATTTTATGTTACTTTACAAACTTAAGTTAATCTTTCATTCTTACTGCAAGTGGCAGATTTCAAGAAGTTTTACCTCATGCGAGGTCTACCTTTATCGCCAAAAGGGCGAGAAATGAGTTGTGACCGATTTTCTTATTATGTTTTTCAATTACTCGCGCGTAAAACTAAAGTTGATGTATAATAGCGTTGTATAAAGACTTAAATATTGTAAAAAGTTATTGTATAAATTTTATTTAAAACATTCTAACAAGAAAGAAGTTTTAGTCTGAAAGACTTTTTGAAATGTAGTATTATTTCAATGTAGAAAGAATTGGCACTTGCTTTGAAAAGAATAGAAGTTAACAATGTACTACTAATGTATGTTTTCAAATGTGTAAAATTAACGGCATCTTGATATGTTCTTGTATACATGTGAACTGTTATTTTGAATGTTTAGAAATACCGTGATATGGTAAAAGTGAAAGTAATGTTAAAAATTTTTTTTATTCGTGTGACTGTAAAGATTAAATCATGGTGAATATGTGTTAAAGGTTGAATGATGTAGTTAGGCTCTCTGACGCTACACTTTAGAGTTAGCCACTTTCAGAATAGTACCTCAGGGTTTAGAGTTGAAATTAGGGTGTGTTAAGAGGTCTCGTATGTTGAATTTTAACACGTTAGTGTTTTGATTGTAGGAGGAAGTGTTGAACACGTAGACAGAAACACATTCGTGTTTGGTGTTTTTTACAACACATGTCAGAGAGCACGGGGAGAGATAATTAAAATAGTCATGAATGAAATAAGAATGTTAAGAAAAAGTATATTCTATATGTTATTTGCAATGTCATTCTGTAACATTTCATTAAACTAGTTTTCCTTCCAGATCTCTGGAAGGAACCAGAATTGAATAAAGCTCCTGTTTAGATGCAGTACAGATGAAAAAGAAAAAAGATTGTTGTATATTCCGGGAGAGCTGCTATTGTAACAAATTTC